CTTTGTCAAAAAGCTCTAATAAAGACGAAACATTTTCTTGTACCTCACATTGGCCTTTGCTTTACCACCTGATTGAAGGGATTTTCAGCCTTCTCAGCCCTTCTGGCTTCCATTCAACAACCTAAAGAACATGTTTTTCTTTATAAGCTTAAGTACCACTTCTTGCCTTTCATGCAAGTGACCATATTTATGGGTTCCCAGATACCAAAAACTGTAAGGTCTGAACATTCTTAACTCTCTCTGTGACTTTCTTTAAGGAAACCTAGTTCTTGTTGTTCCAATTGTTTTTCTTAGTTCAACGACATGATCTTGAATATGTTTTAACCTGTTTCCACTAATATTATGTTTCATAAATGACTTAGCTTGGGTTGACGTTGTTTCTATCAACATTGATATATACTCCCTTGATCAAATAGGTTTCAACCAACTTCTGACTTCCATGACAAATATGGAGGCTACCAAAACAGAAGCAGACTGTCTCCAAGCTCAATGTTGGAATGTTTACACAGAGGATTAACACAAATAGGCTTCAAACCAGAATTTTGGAAGAAAATTCTTGATCCACAGAAGTCATTTCTTCAGCAATGGAACAAGATATTTGTGCTGTCCTCTGTCATAGCAGTAGCTGTGGACCCTATCTTCTTTTACGTTCCAGTATTTGATAAAGACCGTCAATGCCTAACCATGGACCAAGATCTTATGACCATTACTTGTGTTCTTCGTTCATTCATTGACTTATTTTATCTACTTCACATGATCTTTGAGTTTCGAACTGGTTTTCTTCCCCCTTCTTTGCCTGTGTTTGGAAGTGGTGAATTAATTGAAGACCCAGCAGCTATAGCAAAGAGATATCTTTTCTCAAACTTCTTGATTGATATCTTATCCATTCTCCCACTGCCTCAGGTATAATTTATTTGGAATGTTACATATTGGTTGATGAGGAGCTCTTTAAAGCACAGTCCAAAATCTTCTCTTTCTTCACATATTACGAACACCCTGTGCTTGTTTTGTTCTGTATCCCGCTTGAGAGTGGTTTATGTTAGGAGTCACGACTCTCCACAATAGTATGATATTGTCCACTTTGAGAATAAGCTTTCATGGCTTTTCTTTGGACTTCCCCAAAAGGCCTCATACGAATGGAGTTGTATTCTTTACTAATAAACCCATGATCATTTTCTAAATTAGCCAATGTGGGACTCCCTCCCGACAATCCTCTGCTCGAACAAAGTACACTATAGAGCCTCCCCTAAGATCTATGGAGCCCTCGAACAGCCTCTCCTTAATTGAGACTCGACTCCTTCTCTGGAGTCATCGAACAAAGTACACCATTTGTTCGACACTTGAGTCACTTTTGACTACACCTTCGAGGCTCATAACTTCTTTGTTCGACATTTGAGAATTCTATTGACATGGCTAAGTTAAGGACATGAATCTGATACCATGTTAGGACTCACGACTCTCTACAATGGTATGATATTGTTCACTTTGAGCATAAACTCTCATGGTTTTGCTTTGGGCATCTCCAAAGGGCCTCATAACAATGGAGATGTATTCCTTACTTATAAACCCATGATCATTTCCTAAATTAGCCAACGTGGGACCCTCCCAACCATCCTCAATTGGATAGATTCTTGTGAATCATTTGTTTGAAGTAGCATTGATTGTCTCACTTAAGCGAACTTACTATTTAAGATAACATAGTCTTTTCATGTGTTTCAGCTTTTAGTATTAGTAATCATACCTGCAGCGAAAGATCCAATTCCAACAAAGACAGAGAACATCGTGAAGATTGCGGTTCTTTTGCAGTATATTCCTAGGCTTCTTCGAATTTATCCACAATACAGAGAAGTAACCAAAAACTCTGGCATACTGACAGAAACTGCTTGGAGTGGAGCTGCCTTCAATCTTCTTATTTATTTGCAAGCTTGTCATGTATGTGTTCATTTGATTTTATAGCCATCCAAAAACCACCCCTTTTTATGTTTCGGTTTAAAAGAAGTTCTCTTATAAGCAGTGAATTTGATGATCAGGTTGTTGGTGCCATTTGGTATTTGTTATCAATAGAACGCCAAACCAAATGCTGGCTTGTGGCATGCATGAAAGATGACTGTAGAGACAATTTTTTGTACTGTGAACGTCGTAGTGAAGCAATGTCCTCTTCTACAATTAAGTTTTGCTCTCCTAAGAAATCTGACAAGACAAACACCTTCGACTTTGGGATGTATGCTAAAGCCCTTGAGTTTGACTTTACCAAGACGAGTTTTAGCCACAAATTCTTCCATTCATTCTGGTGGGCTCTGCAAAACGTCAGGTTGGTAAAAGTTTTCCATTGTGACATCGGTTGGAGAGGAGAACAAAACATTTCTTATAAGGGCCGGAAACCTCTCCTTAGTAGACGCGTTTAAAAACTGTGAGGTTGATGGTGATACGTAACAAGCCAAAGCAGACAATGTCTGCAAGTGGGCTTGAGCGGTTACAAATGGTGTCAGAGCCAGACATTGAGTGGCGTGTCAGCGAGGACGCTGAGCTTCTAAAGGGGGTGGATTGTGAGATCCCACATCGATTGGAGAGGGGAACGAAATATTTCTTATAAGGGTGTGAAAAACTCTCCCTAGTAGACACGTTTTAAAACCATGAGGCTGACTGCGATACATAACGGACCAAAGCAGACAATATCTGCTAGTTGTGGGCTTGAGCTGTTACAAATAGTATCAAAGCTAGACACTGAGTGGTGTGCCAACAAGGACGTTGGGCTCCCAAGAGGGGGTGGATTGTGAGATCCCACATCAGTTGGAGAGGAGAATGAAACATTCCTCATAAGGGTGTGGAAACCTCTCCCTAGTAGACATGTTTTAAAACCGTGAGGCTGACGGCGATATGTAACAGGCCAAAGTAGAAAATATCTACTAGTGGTGGGCTTGGACCATTACAAATGGTATCAGGGTCAGACACTGAGTGGTGTGCCAACAAGGACGCTGGGCTCCCAAGGGGGTGGATTGTGAGATCACACATCAGTTAGAGAGGAGAATGAAACATTCCTTATAAGGGTGTGGAAACCTCTCCCTAGTAGACACGTTTTAAAACTGTGAGGCTAGCAGCGATACATAACAGACCAAAGCAGACAATATCTGCTAGTGGTGGGCTTGGGCTGTTACATCATGTTTCTCCATCACTTAACTACTTTACTAGAGAATTTGATATGATATGTGTGAAGCTATTGTTATAAGCTCCAAGTTTCCCAGATAATCTTAAGTTAATGCTTTGGGGCTACATACACTTTAAAAGAACTTGCTTGTCTCGTTACAGCTCAAGTGGACAAAACCTTAAAGTAAGCAACTACATGGGGGAGGTTCTTTTTGCTGTCTTCATAGCCATCCTTGGTTTGGTTTTATTTGCCTTACTCATTAGCAATGTTCAGGTCATTCATGTCTCTGATATCATCACTCTTCCATATTCTATAACTCATTCCCTTTCTAACTGCTCCAACTTTCTAACTGTGAATCATTCCCCTTGGGACAGAAATACCTTCAGTCAACAACTGTTAAAATAGAGCAGATGAGAATCAACCGACGAGATATCGAGCATTGGATGGCACATCGTATCCTCCCGGAGGACTTAAGGCAGCGTGTTAGACGATACGATCAATACAAATGGCAGCTAAACAGAGGAGTTAAGGAAGAGGAACTCATTACTAACCTTCCTAAAGACCTTAGGAAAGACATCAAACGCCATCTTTGCTTGTCCCTTCTTAAAAAAGTGAGTTCTTTTCAAATTTTGTCATGTTCCGATGCCTATTTATATTAAAAGATTTGATAAAGATATATATGGTAGATATTTCGTAAAGATTTGGTAGAGATATATTTGGTAGGTGGTTGAATCTGTTAAAACTATATTTAATAAACGGAAACAATATAAGCACTTTGTATTCCCTCTTCATGTACATACCTGAAGTCATCGGACGAAACTTTCATTGTTTGTTAACTCCAAATGGTTTAGGTGACACTTTTTAGCAACATGGACAAGCATCTACTAGACTCAATGTGCGAATATCTCAAGCCTGTGTTATTCACAAAGAGTAGCTTCATTCTGCAAGAGGGTGACCCAATTGATACTATGCTATTCATCATGAAAGGAAAGCTATCTAACATTATAACTTTTGGTTGGAACAACAAGCCTTACACGGACATACTTAAAGCAGGCGACTTTTGTGGTGAAGAGCTAGTTCAATGGGCAATGGATCCAACCTCCACTTCTCTTCCCATTTCAGCTAGAACAGTTGAATCTCTTACTGAGGTTGAAGCCTTTGCTTTAAAGGCTGATGAGCTGAAATTTGTGACCAGTCAGTTCCATTTCCAGCGCCTTAATAGCAAGCAATTTCAGCTCAGAGTGAGGCATGTTTATATGAACTGTTGCTTTGATTCAGCTGCTGCTGAAGTGATTGATATGTAATAGTTTTTCATTTTTTTAGATTCTATTCTCATCAATGGAAAGTTTGGGCTGCCTATAAGGTACAAGAAGCTTGGCATGATTACGTTGAAAGAAAGAAGAGAGGGGGTGGAGATGGTAGATTTCAAGATGCATTGGCTAAGATAGTTGGTGTCTCGGCGAGCTTTGGCGCCACTCTATATGCATCCATGTTTATATCATATCTGTTGCTTGCTGTGCAGCGAGATCAACACCAGAAAACTGCTCCTTTAACACGAGTGATGACGCTACCGCCGCCTCCAAAGCCAGACGATAAGCAAGACGAGCCAAATTTCACCATCTTGAATCGTTAAAAATGTGTTAGTTTCGCTTTTCTTTATATTTGAGGTTTATGTCTATTTGATTTTTGAACTTTCAACTCAATTTTGAAAGGTTCTCGTAAGTCTGAGAAATGTCTGGTAAGTATATGAACTTTTGATAAATGTTTAACAAGATCGAATAGTTTTGAAATTTTTAAAATATACTAAAATGGGAAGAAATTGATGAACGGTTATGAAATTATGATTATTGGTAATCGTTATTAGAGTATTATTAAGAAGTAAATAAGGATTATTGAGACCAAGACTCAATCTTATTTTGAAACGAAGAGAAACTTAAGAACATCATATGGGATTTTGGCTTGGTTTATGTTGATTGGGATCATTGATGATGGCAATTCCCAACCTCATTTGACATGCCACTTCCAAATTCAAAGCCTTCAACCCTGCATCCCAATACACACCAACACCAAAATATTAGCATCCAATATCATAGCCAACGCATTTTTCTTTTTAATTTGTCCCTTGAAAATGCATTTTAGATTCATGGCGCGAAGGAAAAGGGAAAAGGAAATGTTAATTTGATTACTCTGAGCAGTCAGTGGAATTGTCAATGGGAGGAATTTGAACTGGAATTCCGCAGCCTTCGGGAATCGAAGGAATGCGATTCGGATCATAAGCTCCGATCATCGACAAACTCTTCTTGATACACTCGCACAAATCAACCTTATCGTTCTTCGTTTTAGCATCGGCGGCCAACTTAGTAACGCCACTGCAGCACGACGGCGGTGGATTCTCTCCAAGAAACCCTCCGTCGCTGCCTTTGATGAAGCTCAAACATGGCGATAGCTCCTGCGCCACCAGTATGCAGCTTCCCATGTCGACATTCTGAGACAGCGCGACCATCATGGAGCTTGTAAGCATGGCGATGAAGGTTAGTGCACTGATCATCAAGCGGAGATTGTAGATTCCTGACATTTTTCACTTGGGAATTTTTACAAACACTTGGTGGGTTTACGATTTTGTGTGTTTTTATATCAGTTTCTTGTGTAACGATTCCTGAAATTCTGCTACCATGCCGATTTTATGAGTTTCTTTTGGTTATTGACACACAAAAAAGTGGGGTTTTCTTAAATTACTTGAATCTCTGTACACACTGACTTTGCATTGTTGTGTTCTTGTTACGTAGAAGAATTGAAGTTAGTGAGAAGGGGAGGGAGAGGGAGAGTTTCGACAAAGAGGGCAGCTGCTGTTGACACGAAGCCATTGATCAATACAATCCACATGGAAGCAATGCTTACACTCAGGAATGCATCTGACAGTGTCTTTGGTTAAGTACTCTCCGAGGCATATGGGGCAGGTGGTGCCATTGGGGCCAGGCAGCCGCCGGCTTTCTCCAAGGATTACCTTCTGATATGAATCAATGGTTGATTCATCCAGACCACTCAAACGGATCGGTGGCTCTGTCTCTAAAGCTGGATTGACCTGCTGCTGATGCTGAGCTTGGTTTCTTCTGCTGTCTGCAATGCCATAGCCCCACCTTGCGAAGCAGATGAAGCAGCCAAATCCAAAGACACACATCAAACTCGGTAGAATAATCACCACACAGATGATCCGCAATATTCTGAGGCCATTATTCTCCCCTGAAATTTAAGGTATTTTATCATTTAAAGTTTGATATTTTTGCAAACTATATCATGAATGATATCATTAAGAGACGTGCAGCTGAGAACAAGTGTCTTTGTCATTCCTTCATCATCCATGATATTCTTCTGTTATTACTTTAATCTCAACTTGCCTATAATATAAGCTTTATCTATGTCTTAGTCAACCAAGAGCCAGTCTAAGATTCATATAGCAGCCTGTATCTTTATTTTTGCAATATGGGTTAAAGTTGACCATAATCGGAACAAAACAATGATTTATTTTTATTTGAATTTTTAGGTAACTACCCTAGATTTCTACTTAACCTAAAGTCGTTAGGGTATGCATAACATATAGTCTATGAAATTAAATATAGCCTAGCCCCTATACTAACCTATCGTCTACAAAAACAAAATACAAACTACCCTATGCATGTGACATGGTCTCTTGAGTTGCGATGTCATTGTCAGCCGTACATGGGAGTCTTGCCTTTACTTGGAAAATAAGAGTAACACATGGCTTAAGTATTTTAAGAAATACTTAGTAAAGTGACCCCACTATTGAGGTTAGATGCAAGCACACACAATCATGAATTTGACCTATCATTTAAATCTGTATTCCCTTAGCCGACTATCCTAAGCGGGTAATGAGATGTATGTTTACTATTCTATACACGGCTCACACGTGATTGTGTGTGCTTGCATCTACCTCAATAGTAAGGTCACTTAATGAGTATTTCTTAAAATACTCAAGTTATGTGTTACTCTTATTTTTCAAGTAAAAGCAAGACTCCCATGTACGGCTGACAGTGGCATCGCAACTCGGGAAACCATGTCACATGCATAGGGTAGTTTGCATTTTATTTTTGTAGACTATAAGTTAGTATAGGGCTAGGTTGCATTTAATTTGTCGACTATAAGTTAGTATAGGGCATTTATGTTTTATTTTACTTATGTTCTTTTGACTCATGTTAAAGTGTTTTAAGGACCTTTCAATAAACATGTAAGTTCGTAGCAATGTTTTTATGATAAAATTTTAAATGATTATTTCAGCCTAAAATGATAGGTATACCGTAACGACTTTAGGATAAGTAGAAAACTAGGTCGTTACATTTTCCTCGAACAATGCATTCTCATCCATTTCAGAAGATGAAGAGTTTAAAGAAGAACATGAACTTAGGAAATAGCAACAAAGGGTAAAATTTTGACCTGTTGAGTACTTATTGAAACAGGCAATGCCGAGGCCGCTGTTGCTTTTGAACCCACAAAGCCTGCCTTCTGTTTCGCAGATACTGCAAGCAGGGCTATTCCAAGTTAGCAGGAGATCACCATAGTGGTCGGTTAGAAACTGATTGGCCTCATCTGGGTACGCAACTGGGACAGTTAAATTAGCCATGATCCTGCAAGAGTTTGACTTTGACATTGACCTGACATAACTCATGGAAGAAGTAGCCACAACCGAGCTGGTGGAGTTGCTAAGGCAGCTAAGGACAGGAAATCGGGATGTTGCAAATTGAGGTTGACAGCTTAGGAAGGTGAAATTCTTACTAAAAGGGAGCAGAAATGGAGAATTTGAGAGATCGAAGTTGAAGCCTTGAAGAAGAAGCCTTTTAGGAAGGCAAACATCTGGATCATAGAGCTGTATCTGTTGAGCAACATAATCAATATTTCTTACCAAAAATTGTTCTGAAGACGATAGATTTAGAGTCGACACACCCACGTCGTTGCAGGCTAAGTTGAAACCAGGATAGCCACATCTTGCAGGTTGCAGCTCAGGAATTCGGAACGGGAATCGGATGCCGAAGTTGTCCTTCATACACTTGGAAATAGAGCAACTTTGAGCTGTGGATAAAGTGGGGAGGATGAAGAGGAAGAAGAGGAGAAAGATATGTGAGAAATCCATAAGCTTTGCCAGAAGGAAAATTTTTGTAACTTGAAGTAGTTCATATTTATGTTATTGACTTCATCATTTTATTCTAAAGTCAGAAGCTTTGAAAGTTCTATAATGGTTGGTTTGACATTCTTTGGCTGTGGATGCCATAGTTTTAATATTCATGAGAGAGCTACAGAAATTTATTAAGAAATTTCAATTTGATATAAACTATCAAACTCTCTTTCTGTATTTTTGTGCTTATTTAATTCATCTTCAAACTATATTATAATCCATAGACTTTATTATAAAAAGTTCAAAAACAAATTTGGTAGACTTCAGAAATTGTTTACGAGATTTTATCATAGCCATAAGGATGGAATTCTAAAATTTTTACGTAATCATAGAGACCAAATAAATTTATAATTGAACATGATCAATCTCACATGCAAGTAATTTGAATCGTAAAGCTTGAATGGAATCTTTTAAAAAAAATCTTGGTCATTAATAATATCATATTGTGTATCAACTCAAGCCTATCACCTACCACTAGTATATATTGCATTTTTGGACTTTCTCAGCTTCTCCTTAAGGTTTTAAAAGGTTAGAGGGTTTTAAAAGGTTATAGAGAGGTTTCCACATTCTTACAAGAATGTTTTCTCCCCTCTCCAACCGATGTGGGATCTCACAATCCACCCCCCTGGGAGGCCCACAATCCACCCCCTTAGAGGCGCCATTATAGGGACACATTCTTACAGGGAATGTTTCGTCCTCCTCTCCAACCGATGTGGGATCTCACAAACCACCTCCCTTGGAGGCCAGGGTCCTCGATGACACACCGCCTAATGATTGACTCTGATACCATTTGTAACATCTCAAATTTACTGCAAGCAGATCTTATCATCCTCAAAGTTTTAAAATACATTCGTTAGAGAAAGGTAATAAATAAATTTATATACCTAAACTTGTGGGTTATATAGATTATAAACTTTCTAAATAAATAAATTTATATTATTACCAAGGATTAGAGGATAAAATCACAATTAAAAGTTGAGAAATAAAGTAACGAAATTTAACTAAAACACTGAACAATTTAGAGATAAAATCAACAGAGCCATCAAGATTTAGCCATTGACCGACGACACGAACGGCGAAACTACTGCTTCTTTGACATGCAAGACCATGCAGACGTAAAAGAAAGTTTCATTATGAATGATACCTGCACATAGCAAGTTGTTCACAGTTTAGCTTCTTAATCAGAGCCCTCCATTTCAAGTCTTAGTGAATCACAAAGGTAGAGTAGAGATTTGAACCTAGCAGTTACTTAAAAGTACAGTAGAGATCTGACAGATTCTGGACTAAATTTTAAGAATATGCAAGCCTCTGTCCATCAAACCAAATGAATCAATGGCATGTATTTAAAACTAGATCCAAGATCACCAGTTTCAAAGTAAAAACATCAAAGGTAGCAGAAGAAGGCAGCAAACTATTTCACAAGAATGCAAATTTACAGAGTGGAAAGCTGACTGCTAGGTTATATTAATAGTAGGGGAATGCACAATGGTACCGATGGGCATTTGGGAGCAAGTCTATGATGAAGAAGCTTCTGTTTATTGTTTGTCCTTGGGACTCAAGGAGGGCTCCAGTACAAGATCTCCTACTCCTCTTGGTGGCCCAATGCTGCAACGAGCTGTGTTGTGCATTTTAATTGCATCTTTAATTTTCTGGAACTGGGGGAAGGAGAAAGGTTAGATAGAGTAAGTAGAATGATGGTATTCCTTCATATATTGATAATCAATGCCTGCCATGGGATCAAACACTTGGTATAGTTCTCCAAATTTGGGATAAGGGAAGTTTTCAGTTCATATTAGATCCACATCAATCCTTCCAGCACATTCACATCGATGACTCGAAAATTGTAACATTTCAAGCCCACCGCTAGCATATATTGTACTCTTTGGATTTTCCTTTTGGGCTCTCAAGGTTTTAAAATACGTCTACTAGAGAGAGGTTTCCACACCCTTTTAATAAATGTTTCGTTTCCCTCTCTAACCTATGTGGGATCTCACAATCCACCCCTTCGGGGTCCCAGTGTCCTCGCTGGCACACCGTCCGGTGTCTAGCTCTGATACCATTTGTAACAGCTCAAGCCCACTACTAGCAAATATTGTCTTCTTTGAGCTTCTCCTTATGGGCTTCCCCTCAAAGTTTTAAAACGAGTTACTAGGGAGAGGTTTTCACACCTTTATAAGGAATGTTTAGTTCTCTCTCCAACCAATGTGGGATCTCACAAAAATCTATTTATATTTTAACATGCCTGGTGCTTGTTATAAGCTAAACCAATAAAATAGTATGAATTGTTTACATATGAGATGGGGGATGGGGAGGGAGGAGGATGCTAACCTTTGCGAGTGAGCATGAGAAGGACTCCAATTGTCCATCAGCTCCACGATAAAAATGGAAATAAGGAAGGACCTTGACATTCAAACTTTTGCACATTTGCTTGTTTTCATCAAAGTTGACTTTCAGGAATAAAATCTCAGGGTGCTCATCAGCTGTTCTGCATAGCTGACAGTTCCATTTCAACATATATACAAACGTCAAAACATAAAACAGGCGACTAAAATTTCTAATAAGAACAATAATTGCAAGGTCAGATTTTGCTGTAAAATGCCTTTCCTTTTTAGGAAACAACAAATGTTAAATCCAATGAATATCAATCATTTAATGTGGGAAGCATTCGCAAGAATTTCCGTGCAAATAAGAACTGCTCTGGAGCTTTCTTATTATAACCAAAGCGATAAATAATGACAGAACAGCTATGCAGCAGAAAACCAATAAAGGAACGCAGAGTATTTTGAGATTAGCAACTTGAGATATCAGATACTGAGCAGAGTTATGCTTCATACATTAATGCTTCCCTTTTAACCAATTGGCAAAGCTTTTTGTAATCACAGTGGACAAACCATCCTTTTAGTAAATTCCATACATCAATGAAATTATTTCATATAAAAAATATATATATTTGGCGCAGAGTTTTTGATTACCAATTTATTAAAGGATTGAGCAATTGTCTACAGTTCCAACCTCAGTAACATAGATAGGTAGAAACCTGCAAGGCATCTAAAAATACTGCAAAGTGTACTTTAAAGATTTTCATCTTGATAGCTAGCTAACAAATGCAGCAGTCATTTAATGCCTACTTGTTCAATAAGCTGGTCCTAATCGAGTTTCAGAAAATGCTCCATTGATGGAATCAAGCCTTATATCATGATACACTTAAAACAGACCAACATCACAATCTGAAGAAATCTAAAGCATTGATGAAGAAAGTTACCCGGGGAAATAATGCCCTGCAAGAAGCACACCAGGTTCCGTAAAAATCTACAATAACTAATCTATCACCAGATTCACTCAATGCAGTTAAAAATTCCTGTGTCGAATGTATATCAATCATGTTTGGTGCACTCTTTTCCCACCATTTTGGCTGGTCTTTTTCAGCCACAGCTGCCGGTACCTGTGGCATCATAGAACAGTTTACAGGCGCCACGGGGAAAATGATTGACATCTATTTTGTTTGAGTAAGAAACATTTTTAAACAGATAATCATGTATAAAAGGAAAAGCGGGGAAAATAGTACAGCCTCCTGCCCTCAGAAAGCGAAGGAGAAATTACAAGAAGTTGTCATGTTTTCCACACAAGAAATTTACACATATGTAGTCTCAACGCTACAAACTGAATAATAAATTTGAGAGCTGCTCATTGCCTATGGGAGCTTGCAGGCATGCAATAGTCAATAAGGTAATCAAGAAGAGATTTGCATGTAAGGATGCTAGAACTCTCCTACTTCCAGTATTTTGAATCAAAACTATGAGTTATATGAAAACCTTCCATGTTGTCAAGATGTAAGCCTACTAGTAATCTCTCTCGTTAAAAGAATTTTGAAATGTAAGGACTTTCTCCACAGGTTCTCTGCTCAGGCTTTTTAGAAACATCTAAAACAAGTCAGCTGAGCATAAAGTTAAGGAAAAGCATTATGAAAATTGAAGTTTCCTATCCAACCAAGCATCCTTTCAAAATCCAATTATACAATGGTTCTCAGCCATTAAGAAAGCTTCCAATCTCAGATAAATTTCACAGCTAGCAGTGAAAATCCAAAGGCAACAACTGTTAAGAGATATGTTTCCTATGAACAATCACATAGGACTTGCATCATATTTACTGGCGAGAATTCTGTGCCTAAAGGGTGCTGGCGTTCGACTACTTCTCTTCTCGTACCCCACTGTCATTTGGTAATCATGGCCATGCTTCTATTTCAAATTTTACCAGTCCCAAAAGCCTCATAACTCAATATGAAAATAAAGAACTCTCCAAGTAACAAGGTGTTCAGTCCCCTCGTTCATAACCAAAAATCTTCCCAAAAGCTATAGCCAGATCTGAAGGAACTTTAAAGAGATATGAAGAGAAAACATGGCTCCTTATGGTTTAATCAACCATAAATTAAGTGTCTCTTTAGATTTAACCAGCATCAGGCTAGACAGGAATATAAACTACTTCGTAGAACAGACTAGAACTGTCAACTAAGAATTGAATGCATATGGGAAAGAATTGTTGGCAAAGCAATGTAGCTAATTCTTTTAACAGATAAAAGTACAAGCATCAACTACCTAGGGAAAATTTGAACTTAGTGGGTCTCACAATTAGGGTTGTACAGAACCTTCTCAAATTCCAATTCAGCACATGGAATCTCAAATTGAAAATAAAATTCAAACAAGCCCAACAAACAGATTCTTGCTGGCAACTAAATTCATATAAAAATAATAATGAAAATCTCAACAATTATAAATCCAACCAAAAGAAAAGCTGTGTACCTTGAAAGACACCAACCTCTTTCTGGGTGTGAAAGAAAGAGGCATTACAAAGCTAGCAGAGTAACGCGGCAGAGAAGTCGACCTCTTATCCGAGCTTTGAATGGGTGGAAGGCAAGTCTGAATAGAATTGCAGGATGAAGCAAAGGAGGCAGGGAAAGAAGTGGATGGGAAACATAAAGAATGCGAGGAAAATCTAAAAACATCAGCCATTTAGAGACAAAAACGCAGAAATTCTACTTCCAAACACAATCTGTGTCCCCCCAAGAAGAAGATGATGAGGTAAACAGCATGGGGGGAGAAACGAAAAGGGCAATCGAGAGAGAAGTAGAAGGAGAAGGGTTGTTTATAATTGTGGCTATAATTGTGCGCGTGAATTGGAGAGAGTGCTTTTACGCTTTACACGATTGTAAGGGTGACTGCAACAATTGGTAATCAATCCGCCATTTTAACCCAATCACAGTGCTCTACGGTTTTGCTCTTCCTTGCCAATCATCTCTCGTCTTGTCGGTGATGAGATTTTTCTGCTTTGACCTAACCAACACGATTTTTTTGTTAAGATATCTTTCCTAAATAGTTTAAAAAATATATCTTTAAAATTTTTTTAAAAATAAAAAATATTTAATCCTAAGTTAACGACACCTTTAAAAAATATTCATAATTTTTTAAAATAACATTAAAAAATAATATTTGAAATGTATATAGATGGTTTTGTCCATCCAACGACAGTAACAATTTTTTTTTATATGTATTAATGTTCCTTATAAAATTTGATAATTATTTTTTAAACATGGGACCGATCGTAAAAATATTTTTGAATTTTTAACTATAGTAAAAATATTTTTGAATAATAATAATAATTTTTTTTTTTTTTTTTGAAGAGAAACTTTAAAAGTTTATGATATTCTCATTAATATAGTTCTTAATAAATTATTAATTTAGACAAATCTTTTATAATAGTAAATTTAATATAATTCGTGAAAACTTGATTTAATTCTCCTAAATTTGAATATTCTCCTTTCATATATAATTTTTTTTATTAAAATTTAATATATCTCATAAAAGAAAAAATATATGTATCGTGATAAGCATAAAAGTATTACGTGAAAAATAATATATACTTTCTTTTCGTATGAAAAATTTCATTGATTTTATATTTATTGTTATCATATAAATAGAATTATTGATACCGCCTCGAAACAAACAGTATGAACGAATTAATGAAAAAATAAATAGGCGTGACAGAGGAAGACAGCACACAGATTGTGGACAGGGCCCCAACGAACGCTCTGTCAAATCTGTCATTTCTGCTGCCGGCGCTCCTCTGTTCGAACCCTTTCTTTTTTACCCTTCATCTTCTCTGTTCTTTGCATTCTATTCCATTTCCAGAGTCAATATGGCAGAATCCATACCAGACCGGTCCTCTCCCCCTCTTTCATCCGGTACGTTCCCTATCAATCTCCTGATTTTTCCTTTTTCTTTTTTCTTTTTTCTTTTTCGTATATATATATATATACATATATATATGTGTTTGATATCGTCATTCGCGTGATGATTTTGCATTGCGTTTACATTTTCTGAGGATTCTTTGATCAATTTCCATTGGTTGTAGTATACGAGTATTTTGGAATCAATAGGCTAGTGCTAGCAGATTTTGAATTAAAAGTATCCACTTCGAATTTTGCAGAAAATTTGCAGGCAGATGAATCGCCTGGTCATCACCAGGAGACTCATGGAAGACGGGATGATATTGACGAGAATACCTCGTTGGATGAAGTCAGAGCGCCAAACGTGTTTGAGAGAGTAAAAGAGGAGATTGAGGCTCTGGTTGAAACGATCCACCCGAAGAAAGAGTCACAAATGTATGAAAGGAAGTTTTTATTCACTTATTGTGCAACTAAACTTTTAGGTTATGATTTCATTAACTTTGACATTGGACTTATGTAAATGGTAAAATCAAGATATTGCTTCAATAGGAAACAGTTGACCTTCTTTATAAATTTGTATAACTAGATTTCAATATTTATTGCTAGGTCTCGGAGTTCTTATGTTACTTGATTTTGTGCTTGGATTTAGGAGTTTATGTGGCTGAGTATGCGTTTTCCCACTAGATTTTGGATGTTTGCCGTTGGATCTTGGACGTTTTATAAATTGGTTTTAGGTTAACTTCTAGTTTTATTTCAAAGATGGTCTACTTATTCATGTTCAGAATTCAATTTAATGAAACTAAAATGAGCTTTTCATATATACATATATAAATCCTCGTGTTGTTTTCTGGTCGCAGGGATGAAGCTTCAGCAACGGATTCCATCGAAGAGAAAACAGAGTTCCTATTAGGTGGATTCTTTGTTTCTTATCATATTAGATTTTGCAATTGTGCAGTTGTATTCATATCTTTCTGCTTCCCTCTCTGTAAACTAGCTTATCTTGTTCATAAACAATGTGGACAAGATGGGAGATTGATTTATAAAAAGCCTCTAGACAGAAGTAAAACTTGATAAGTCGAAATAACTATGGAGTTTATCTTCTTCTTGTGTGTTTGGATCAGATAGCACAGCGAAAGCAGCAAAAGTGATAGAAAGAGCAAAGGACGAGATTGAGAAGATATGGCACATTAAGAAGTCAAAAGAAACCCACGGCCAGCGTGATGATATAGGAGAAGATACTCCAATAGATGAAGTCAAAGCTCCAAATTTATTTGAGCGGGCAGCAGAAGAATATCAGGCCCTTATCCAAACGATTCACTCTAAGTAAGAATCTCAGACATGCGATAAAAGGTTTTGATTGATTATTTTTAATTAGTTTAGGTTTAGGTTCAGTAGTTATGGGATGCATTTAGTTTTCTTTCTAAATTATCTCATTTACTGCAATTCTTTTGAAGGAATGAAATTACCAATGCTGCATCAATTCTGAAGGAAGCTATGCCTCTCTCGGGTATTACAGTTTTCAAATTTGCATTCTTAGAGTTCTCCAAAGATGCTGTTTATTTATGCTCTATTATAACTTTTGACCATGGTACTCTGGTTTTTTGAGATCCAACATTGGTTGGGGAGGAGAATGGAGCATTCTTTATAAGAGCGTGGAAACTTCTCCCTAGCAGACGCGTTTTAAAATTTTTGAGGAAAAGCCCGAAAGGGAAAGTCCAAAAAAGACAATATTTACTAGCGGTGGGATTGGGTTGTTACAAATGGTATTAGAGCCTGACACTGGGTGGTGAGCCCCGAAGGGGGTGGACACTAGGCGATGTGCCAGCGAGAACGTTAGGCCCCAAAGGTGGTGGACTGTGAGATCCCACATCGATTGGAGAGGAGAATGAGTGTCAATGAGGACACTAGGCCAAGAAGGGGATGGATTGTGAGATCCCATATCGATTGGAGAGGAGAACGAGGGCCAATGAGGACACTAAACCCTGAAGGAGGTGGATTGTGAGATCTCACGTTGGTTAGGGAGGAAAATGAAGCATTCTTTATAAGGGTGTAAAAACTCTTCTCTATTAGACGCATTTTTAAAACCTTGAAAGGAAGCCAAAAGGTTCATACTAATTGGCCACTGGTTCACATTTATGGAAAATCGAAGTAGTTCGTCTAAATTGTTGTACCGACTGATGTTTTCTTAGGATTACTGATGAATTACTTGTTTTATTCTACTGTAAAACAAATATTGTTGCAGCTATTTTGCTTCTAATGAGTTTCTTTGTGCGGCAAATGATGCAGAAATGAGTTCAAATGAGAAAATGCCAATCAATGAAGTGAAGGGGCCAAATATTTTTGAGAGAGCAGAAGATGAAATGGAGGCACTTGTTCATGGCATCCATGATAAGAAGGAAACTGGTTCGCCAGGAAAAGAAGGATTTCTGTCAAAACTGGGAAATTGTTTGGAAATAATATGCTCTCCTTCAAAAAAGAAAGATGATTAAACCCCAAAGCAAGAATTTGACAATCAAGAATGATGGTTTGTTTTCTAATATTTTTCATCTGTGTATTGTTCCATTACTACACGAAAGTTTGAAAGTCATCCACTTGTATTTCTGCATGATTGTATAACAGGAGCTTTGTACATTCCCAGTTTGGGAACAAATGTATATCCTTTATAACTTTGTAATCTGGAATTTGTAAAGTTGTAATAAAAAAAATGTTTGCAGTGGGTTTGAATGTTTAAACTTCATTCCTAACTTGATGATCGATAGACGATCACCAAAAAATTGTTAAATTGTTTGCGTATATGTTACATTTCTGCAAGATCATAGATCATAATGTTAAAATCCAAAAAATAATAAATTGGATTTACATGAATGATCAAAGAAAATTTATATTTAAACTCTAAATTAGAATCACTTCATAAGATATCTTGATTCTATCATGCAACTTTTTAAAGTTTGAATGTAACATGAATGATGGAATACAGGTTGTAACTTGGGCGACTTTGGATCAGTGTTCTTGTGGTTTGATGTCTCTAGAGGATCTGTCAATGTGGTGATAGATAAAAGGTTTGGAAATGGCATATGCTTTGAGAATCATATGCTTGACTCGCAAGTTACTTTAGAACCCTCTCCAAAGTTCTTCACATCT